AGCCCTTGTATGATCATCAGTTAAGTTAAAAATACAAAGAGTTGAATTAAAGGCAAATAAATGTATTTATATATAAAAAACACCGACCGCAAAACATCTGCTCACATGTGCATGCACAGGTCTGGCCCACTTACATTGCGCGCGCAGGGGAAGGGAGGCGTCTCGACCGCGGGTATAGGGACGATTAGTGCGTCCCGCAGGCCAGAGGGGGCCTCACTCACAGCACGAACACCACAGTTCACAGATTTCACTTTTTACTGCACAAATGCTGGAACAGCCCTCGTCGTTGCTCCAGACTGCACGGCGGCCGCGCGACAACTGCTGGTTCGAAACCCCGCTAACGGCGGGCGGCGACCGCTGATTGGTCCGCCAAGTCTGACGTCATAGGCGCATCTGACCATGTGTATGCTGACCAGCTGACCAGTACAAGTTAGGCGCCGGTTAAATAACCATGCGGCAACAAGTTTCCAAAACTGGTTAAGAAACAAACGTTGAAACAAATGTAGAGTTGGTCTGGATACTGAGAAGTTGGTGTGCATAGTAACTATTGACTCGTAGTTGTCACCTGACAAGCAATGCACCAGACAACGGCTTGTTTAAAAAGTATCAGTTGGTAAACATACCAAGAGATGATTGGTTATATTGCACAAGACTTGTCAATTTGGTTTACAGTGTATGTAAGTGAGCCATGCGGACACGTTTCGCGTTAAAGCTATTGTTAGGCATGCGCATTTAAATGCATTATTCAATTGGTTTAAGGTTAGCTATGCTGTTAGTTAAAACAAGCTCATCGAGCCTCTAGTGTAACACTGACATTTTGGGTGTCGAATATTTGATGAAATACATATGTTACAGGGAGTATGAGAAATCAGTTAGTTTGCAAACTACCTAGGGAGCTTGCAAACTCCCTGAACGATCAGGTAGTTTGCAAACTCCCTAGGTAGTTTGCAAAGTACCTGGTCGAACAGGTAGTTTGCATACTCCCTAGGTAGTTTGCAAAGTCTCTAGTTAGTTTGCAAACTCCATAGGGTTGTTGCAAACTACCTAGGTAAAATGCGAAAACGACGAAACAACAGCCATATACGAGTACATATGTAGATAAGACGCGATGAATTGGTTCAGAGCTCAGAATGAAGCTTGGCAGCAATGGTGCATACTGCATAACGAGACGATGTGGTGTTTTGATGACGCTCTTTCGCAGCTTTGTGCTTCTGCCTTCTTACTATTTATTTTTGTCTTGCTCGCAAATATCACCTTACAGATTAATGTCTGCCTTTTTTCTTGTAGTCGACAACATGTTACGTTGCCATCCACCTCCTTTCCTTGGACGTCAGCGGCCTCTCCTCCACTGGTCTGGCGTCCATCAGAAAGAGGATGACGTCGCCATGTTCGGCGTCTTCCACGACTCGAGTTATTGCCGCTCAACGCTTCCTCCCACTCCTGGAACTTCTGATCGAACAGTTCGCGAGACATCCCCACAGAACCACAGAGCAACCACAGAACAGAAATTGCGATCACTATGCTGCCTCTTCACACTCCGCTCAGCACTAATGACCCGCCTGCACTGAGCACCGTCCACCAGCCGTGACCCGACAGTGCCTTCCATCCGTTTCCCACAGGCACAGACTGACCTGACCTTTCAAGCTCAGGGCAGTCGACTGCTGGCTACCTGGATCGGGTGGAAGCGGGGCGTTGGGTTGACTGAAGATGACATCCTGATTTCTAACCCGCGCCCCGTAGGGGGGGGGGGGGCGAAACGCCCCCCTGTCCTTTTCCGTCAATATCTCCTAAACGGCTGCAGATACCGCCACTAAACTTTCAGGACTTCTCTGGGCATCAATTTTACACATTGTGACCAAAAAAATTTCAGAGGCTATAATAGGTTGGCCACAAATGACGTCAGAATGACGTAATGTTCTGCCATTTTCGACCGAAAAAGAGCTTCGCGAGAAGAGCGGTCAGACCTACAGCTTTGAAGATACAGAAAAACGATAAAACATAAATTGTGTGAAATTGACAGGGCTACAAAACTGCTATCTCGGATTTTTTTTATTTTTTACCCCCCAAAATTAAAAATGACATTGTATACATTACCCAAAAAAATCAATGTTTTTTTTTAGTTTTGAAAAAAAACTACCGTCTTCTATCTACATACCGAATTTCAGTTGGATATCTTTTTTTGGCCAAGTTATAGCGAAAAAACTGTTCAAAAATCATTACGTAAAATTTTCGAACTCAATTTTTGGGAATTCTATATCACGTAGGTCAAAACAAAGACCACCATTAGACTCACCGTGACGAGCTGCATCGAATCGATACCCATTTTATGCAAAACTATCAACTTTAAAATTTGACCTAATTTGACCTGATCTTGACCTGACCTTCACCAGAGGCAGAACGTAACCTAAGCTGGCCCCAAAGGCTGCCTGACCCACATATTCGCATTTGTCATGTAAAATGGACCATAAAACATGTATCACACGACACTTTCATATTGTGACCCCCAGTGACCTGACCTCTGATCTATGACCTGACCTGGTATCAGTGACCTCAGATAGCAAAGTAGCCAGAAATTGAGTTTCCAAATTTTACGTAATCATTTTTGAACAGTTTTTTTTCGCTATAACTTGGCCAAAAAAAGGTATCGATCTGAAATTTGGTATGTAGATAGAACTGATAGAAGACGGTAGGTACTAGCATTTACATTCCGGTTTTTCCAAAATTAAAAAAAAAAAGATTTCTTGGGTAAAATATAAAAAACATTTTTGGGGGTCAAAAATCAAAAATTTCAAAAAAATATGTGATATCAGTTTTGTAGCACTGTCGATTCCACACCTTTTATGTTTTTTTATCCTTTTTCTGTATCTTCAAAGCTGTAGGCCTGACAGCTCTTCTCGCAAAGCCCTTTTTTGGTCGAAAATGGCAAAACATGATGTCATTGTGACGTCATTCGTGGCCAACCTATCATAGCCTCTGGAAATATTTTTGGTCACAATGTGTAAAAATGATGCCCGAAGAAGTCCTGAAAGTTTAGTGGCGATATCTGCAGCCGTTTAGGAGATATTGACGGAAAATGACAGGGGGCGTTTCCCCCCCCCCCTTACGGGGCGCGGGTTAGAAATCAGGATGTCATCTTAGGCAACCCAACGCCACGCTTCCGCCCGATCCAGGTAGCCAGCAGTCGACTGCTCTGAGCTTGACAGGTCAGGTCAGTCTGTGCCTGTGGGATACGGATGAAAGGCGCTGTCGGGTCACGGCTGGTGGACGGTGCTCAATGCAGGCGGGTCATCAGTGCTGAGCGGAGTGTGAAGAGGCAGCATAGTGATCGCAATTTCTGTTCTGTGGTTGCTCTGTGGTTCTGTGGGGATGTCTCGCGAACTGTTCGATCAGAAGTTCCAGGAGTGGGAGGAAGCGTTGAGCGGCAATAACTCGAGTCGTGGAAGACGCCGAACATGGCGACGTCATCCGCTTTCTGATGGACGCCAGACCAGTGGAGGAGAGGCCGCTGACGTTCAAGGAAAGGAGGTGGATGGCAACGTAACATGTTGTCGACTACAAGAAAAAAGGCAGACATTAATCTGTAAGGTGATATTTGCGAGCAAGACAAAAATAAATAGCTGCTCTAAATCGCACTAAGCTGCGAAAGAGCGTCATCAAAACACTACATCGTCTCGTTATGCACCATTGCTGCCAAGCTTCATTCTGAGCTCTGAACCAATTCATCGCGTCTTATCTACATATGTACTCGTATATGGCTGTTGTTTCGTCGTTTTCGCATTTTACCTAGGTAGTTTGCAACAACCCTAGGGAGTTTGCAAACTAACTAGGGACTTTGCAAACTACCTAGGGAGTATGCAAACTACCTGTTCGACCAGGTACTTTGCAAACTACCTAGGGAGTTTGCAATCTACCTGATCGTTCAGGGAGTTTGCAAACTCCCTAGGTAGTTTGCAAACTAACTGATTTCTCATACTCCCTGTAACACATATACTACAGTAATATTCATTGCTAAGAATAGATCTAACTCAAAAGCCTTTTATGTCTACAAACTGCTAGTGTAAAAAAAGACACAACCTCTCCGAGGCCACAACTCTAAGACATCGGACATAAACTGTTCCTTCCGTTCAGAAATCGTTTACCGCACCCATCCCGGCCCCATTTGGCGTGAGCGAAACCAATTACAATCGGCTCTGTTCCGAATCCAGCGATATGAGAACTAAGCCCGGGATCGAAATTAAGCCAGATACCACAAGAGCCATGAGCCCTGTTCAATCGCACCTTTCGCGAGCGTGATCCACTGTGGCATTCAGTAAATGGGACCAGAGAAGCGGTTCATGTTAGTCCACTGGAAGATGTTTCATGCTAGAGATGCAGTAGTTCTTTCTTTAATGATTGTTTTACTTCTACTACAATCGGGCAGCTGCGTTATATATGTAATATGCATCTATACTCTATGCTTGTTATGATTTGTGTCAGTACATTTTTACTACGCATGCATGATTTTCAATTAGGTATTTGCCACTGTTGCCACATCATGCAAAATCATCTTTTACTTTCCAAATGTGATTAAACCTGACAATTTGTGAATCGGGGAGACTTTCAGTCGCTAGCCCGTCTAGTAGCTGTCTTCCCCTGGTGCAGACCTGGTCTCGTTCCACTCCAATCGAACGTTCCCTTTCGGTATTCCGGCTGGTCTGCGGCTACTTGTTGCATATAGGTATGACTTGCTCCCTGCTGGCTGATATTTTGCATACCGCGAGCATCTGCCAGAGATGTTCGCCAGTCCTTCACTGGCCGCTGGGGAGGGTGAAAGGTGTTCTCCACTGGCCCCTGGGGTGGTCGGGAGGCGCCTCCCGAGTCACACCGGGCCGGGGGCGCTCCCTGGCCGGAATACCGGCGGCACCATTACCGGAGGAAATGGTATACCTGGGAGTGCTGCGGCGTCACCCAGGTGATGTACGGACAGCAGCTATACATTCAGTAACTCACCGCAATAGCTAGTTATATGCAGTCCCGGAACTAAACGGGTAGTTTATTTGATAGAGACATATGCATACAGTTGTAAGATCGTCATGTAGGTATAAGAACATCATTGGTGTGCGAAATAACTGTCACTTTTAGGTCGCACACATATATAAATATTCAGCTAAATATCTTACGTATTGACTAAGATCAAATATTAGGGGTCAATTATTCATATGTATTGCCTTCTTGAGTGATTAATTGTAAAGCTGCCTCATGATACACGAGTAAATTACCAGTATGCATACACCTAAAGGAAACAATAAGTCAAACATGAGCTTTTAAGCGCAGATCGTTGCTCATTCCTCACGGTTCTGCCAGTCCTCGTCGCCCATGGAGCTGAGGTTGGCACGAGCCACCCGCGACTTGATCCTGTCGATGGGGGTGGTGTGGTCGTACAGCAGCGGTGCCTGCAGCAGGATGCCGCACGTGCCGCACGTACACGCCACAGTGAACAGCCACATGAACAGGCGGTCCAGCACCATGGCCACGTACCGCCAGTCAGACTCCACCTGGGGAGGGGAACAGACGGTCAGACTCCACCTGGGGAGAGAGCGACAAACTGTCAGAACTCAGACTCCACCTGGGGAGAGAGGGACAGACTGTCAGACATTATATGGGACAGGAACAGATAGTCCAGTCAGACTCAAACTAGGGAAAGGGACGGACTACCAGACTCTGCCGGGGAGAAGGGCAGATTTTCAGACTCACCTGGGGAAAAAGTGGTGCAGAAATGAGGTTAAACAGAGACAACTTGTAACAGAGACTGGCGGTCAATATTGATTTAGAGGACTGCTAAATACATTACTAAGCACTGACTATTTACTTTTTCATCGATCTTTACCGCCGCGGATAATCTGTCAGCACTCGCTCACCTCTTCAAATGCGTCCAGATTGTTGATGCGACTGGCTATGGTGTTCACGTTCTGCAGCGCTTTCTGTAGATGTTCGTGTTGAGCAATAAGGCTCGTTACGGGTCGAGAGGCTGATGGAACCGACCAGCCGTCAGGGGAGGTCACTGATTCCAGGGAGCCGGGACGGAGAGCGCTGGGCCCAGAGGGGCAGCGATGAAGGGTGCTGGGTCCGGGGGAGCTGACATAGGCCGTGCTGGGTCCAGGGGAGGCAGCCCCGAGCCACGGAGGGCCTGGAGAGCCGCAACTGGGGGGCTGGGACCAGGGGGTGTCGGGGACCGGTTGGTGGCGAGAGGGGCCTGGCTCAGACGGGAGGTGCGCGCTCAGGGCGGGACAGAGCTGGTGGTGCTCTGCAGAGCGGACCGTCAGAGGCGGCAGCTCGACACCAGCTCCCTCCAGCTCGGCCTGTGTCTCCGACTCGACCTCGCAGAGCTCGTGGAGCGGTGGCTCGGAGGGCGCTCTCTGCGGGCGGCGGATCAGCAGCAGAGGCGGCAGCCACTCCAGCAGGACCCGGCGGGCTCGTGACGACAGGCGGTGGGTGCTCGGCGAGCGGTACCCGATGTTCAGCACACAGATGGTGCACCCAACCGACAGCGTCACCAGCACCATGGTGAAGAGCAGGTACTTGCCGAGCAGCGGCACCGCCAGAGACGTCGGAGGGATGATCTCGGCCAGCAGTAGGAAGAACACGGTCAGCGACAGCAGGATCGAGATGCACAGGGTGACCTTCTCGCCCGAGTCGGACGGCAGGTAGAACACCAGGATGGTCAGGCAGCTGATGCCCACGCAGGGGATGATGAGGTTCACTGTGTAGAACACGGTTTTGCGCCTCATGGTAATGTTGAAGGAGATGTCGATGTAGCGACTCTCCTTGCAGCAGCTGTTGTAGTAGACCTTGTGCCGGTGCGCGGGGACCTGCATCAGGTCCCACTCGACGCTCAGGTAGTAGTCGTGCAGGTCCACGCCGTATGGAACTACAGAGTCTAGCTCGGACTCGTTGGTATGAGCCGCGTGACGTAGGTCCAGCTGCCGAGCGGAGGCGCATGCATACGTCAGAGTCATCTTAACATCTTGAATTGCATGAGAACCAGTGAAACAACACAGTCGAAATGGACGACCTTTTACCAGGATGAGTTATATGAATACGCTAGAATGTTTGTTTTATATTTGTCGCAGCTTAAGTAGATATAGTTGGAGAACTGCGAACATCCAATATAACTACTTTATCGACACCTTTTTTTAAACCCCACATTTGTTCTCCCGTGAAGTTCAGACAAGTTGTTTAGAAACCTTCCAAAAAGGTACAGTCACTCGATTTTTCTCAAGTTTGTCTGTCTTGGCAGATCAAGCAATGCCAGAGCAAGCTCACGAACACACAAATTTGATCAGGATCGGACGATTGGACACTTCTAAAAAGAGTTCTTTCGTGCTTCCCGGAAATTCACCGGAGAACAGATGTGGGGTTTTAAAAAAAAATGTGTCGTTATGTCAAAGTAATGTTTGCTTTTCGGTCTGAGACGTTCCGCGCGGCAAGATGAGGTCCCTGACCGCAGTTACGCACATTGTTATCATCGTAGGTCCAGCTGCCGAACTTCATGATGCAGTTCTGCTCGTCGAAGGGGAAGTACTCGACGTCGATCTGGCAGTAGGACTTGTAGATGGCCGGCGGCCTCCAGGACACCCTTCCGCTGGGGGACAGCTCCGCCTTGGTGTTGTTGATGGTGATCTCGTAGTTGCCGTCAGCACTGCTGGCCGGCGAGGACCAGTGTCATCGACAGCTGGGGTAGAACCGCATGAATGTACTCACTGTTACCTTTAGCTTGCCATGGTCTATAAAACCTCCTACTTGTTCACCCAACAGGCCCCTGTCTCCCTTGCTCGTTGCTTTCTGATCGTTGCTATATTACAAAACTATTTAACACTTAATTTTCCACAGGTCCATTTTGGAAGCATTTAACGTGAATTACTTGCTCACGCGGTTATGCCGTTCGCGATGTTTTTTTTGTTCTTTTGTCCATTCGTCGCCTTCTCGGCATTATTTTCTCCTTTTCCAGGCCACAGAAGGTGCCAAAGGCGATGAGCCGGAAAACCAGAGGAGAAGGGAATGATGGAGGGTAGATGGCCCTCTGCAGGCCGCGACACCGCGCTGGCACGCAGAAGACAAATGACAACTAAATGGTGTCATCTTCTTTCCTTATCGTTATCCCCGTGCCACAGACCAAAGGTTGTCCTTTTTTGGACTGAAGAAAGAAGAAAGTGTTATTAGATCAAACCTATCCTATTTCGGCATTAAGGGGAAATGTTGCTCGGTGCTCTTGCTATCTTATATGGCCTTTGAAATTGAATGCTAATGGTACCTATAACGGCACGCGTTAATTTCTTTCAGCACGTCCTGATCTGATTTCATGTCTGCAGCACGCCTCCAGCCGCTGTCCGTGGCTGACTGTGCGGTCCACCGCTTTACCCACTTGTTGTAGAGGACGATGTCGGGGAGCCAGATGTTCTCCGAGGGCACGTAGAGCCGGGTGGTGTTGCCGTACTCGGCCGGGTCCCAGGACAGCTGGTAGTCCGTCCACTCCTGTGGCATCGGCGTCAGCATGGTCAGACGGGGCTCAATAAAGATAAACACTGCACTTACAGGAAATGTGACTGACATCCTAAATGGGAAAAGTAAGGATACGTACACTGTTGCCAATAAAAAGTAAATTTTACTATTTTATCAGAGCCAGTTGTTGCCCACGCAATAGAAGGGGCAATCCGGCTACCCGGGAGGAGATAGCTAGGAACCCTGACCCACCCCTCACCCCACCCTTTCGAGCCAAAGAAGACGACGGACACTGCAAGACAACGGACGGACCAACAACGAAGACGGACGACAGAACCGGGCCCAAATACAGGACGCTGTGGTGGCCCGTAAGCCAAAAATACCAGCACCAGCACCAGTTGCCCACGCAGATCCAGTTCACAGTTCACACACTTCTTGTTTGTGGATGCCCAACTACATGTTATGCCTGTTACTTTTAGTAGATATATCTAAATACATCGTATTTCCTAAAGGTTTTATTGTGGAATTATTAACCCTTAGGAAACATTATGCATTGAAAAATGGAGATACATAAGCTCTAAAGGTGTACGATCGACTGTATTCTATGTGGGAAGATGAAATAAATGACGACCTTACAGAGCATTGTACCGAATAGTTTTGAGAAATGGCAGAGAACCGTTTGGAATGAAAGTCCGTAATGTTACGGCTGTCATCTTTTCTGGCAAGAACCATTCAAACACGGTACGTTGGACGCTGTTATTTGTCAGCAGATTCACGATCGAGTGCATCGGTTCTTTGACGTCTCCCTGTCCCATGGCTCAAATGACATGGGCGGATAGTCAACATCGATATTCCATCGAATCACTGCACAAAAGAAGAAACTATTGGCGCCTTTGAATAGCCGCA